TTCATCTCACATATTTTGGACATGTTATCAAAAGGGACCAGTCCCTGGAGAAGGACATCATGGTTGGTAAAGAAATGGATCAACGAAAAGGAGGAAGACCCTCAACGAGATGGATTGGCACAGGACTGGGCAGTGTTTCATTCTGTTGTACGTAGGTTTGCCATCAGTTGAAACCACCTTGATGGCACCTAACAGCAACAACAGCATGGGCTTCCACCATCTTGTTTGATCCTTACCACTGCCCTCAGAGAGATGTGGGCCAGAACCAGGGCCCAAGTGATGGGTGAGCAGACCTACACACAAGGCTCAGGGGCAGGAACCAAATCCTCCATGTTCCCTTTACATGTGGCTTGCAAACTGGGTATCCTAGAACTCTGTGTGCCTGGACAGAGAAGAGATGACCCAAGAGGGAAGCCAACCACTCCCTCTTGAGAATCCTTTGGTAAATCAGGATAAGATCGCTATGAAAAACAGGCTCCATTGGGGAAAATGGTTTTAAAATGCTGTAATGCATTGTGCCCTGTGCTCCTTCCATTTGAACTTAAAATGGAGCAGACTGGGGCAGTCCTAGGCTGTACATTATCTGCCATATCTTCTCTCAGGAACACAGGCCTTACCAGTACCATAGGCCTCCTCCAATGACGTCCATGGCACTGAAGGACGTCCTCTACAGGCCTGGAGTCTTCCTTCACCTTAATGATAATGACTGTTTCTTCCATCTCCTCATCACATGAAGGGACCAAGGGGCCATAAAACACAGTGGTGAAAAGATTTTGGTATCATATTTGGTCTTATGGGGGACTCTTACAGGACAGGACTCACAATAGAGTCATGGCATGTACGTTATCGCATTGTATTTATTTCCTTGATTCTTATTATAAAAACTGTAAAAACGTTCAGGTCTCCCTTCCTCCCGTTGGCCTTTTTACATAGTAATTGAGATGGGAGAGGCCTGGTGCTCCTTACACAACAGCTCCAGGCCCTGTGTAGCTTGGAAATGTATATAGACTTACCCCAAAAATGGAAGCAAGTCAAGAGCCAGGTGTACAGTTAGAGGAACGTTCTGTACAGCTCGCCCAGGCAGTGGCCGCGCTCAGGTAACCCAACACCACAGGAGGCGTGTGTTCTCCTCTTGCTGGCGAGAGCATCAAGAGAATTGTGTTACTGAGAGACATCGGACTGCCCTGACGGTGTCATCTGGAGGGTGTTTATCTCCCAGGAGGGCCAAGCATTTGCCTAGGCCCAACTTGAAAGATAGGAAAGTGTCTCTATTATTTCTGCCAAGTCCCTTGTGCTCAGTAAGCACCTTTGGCATTGAATCTCCTGAGAACAAGGTGTGAGAGTGAGGAGGTGCATGGCAGCATTGCTACCTGTAGGGCTCAGCACATTGTATTTGAACTGCCCGAGAGTCCATGTCTATGAGAGCCGCTCACAACACTCCTGCCGGAGTTCCTCAACCAGTCAACTATCCCTTGTGCTCCCTGTTGAGGAGGGGACTGACAGACAGGACAAACAGCAGATGCAGGGTGGGTCTGGGCCATGGCAAGGCCTACTTTCTCCAGGGCTCTCCATTGGCCCAGGGAGTCAGCCCCTGGTGTTAACCTGAGCACTAGGGAGGTGAAGGCACTTGGGGAGAGGGCCCAACCAGGCTGATTGAGGTTGAGAGTCAGCAGCAACACAGGGCCTGGAGCTGTTGGGTAAGGAGCACCAGGCCTCTCCCATCTCAATCACTATGTATCACATTTCTCAGCCTGGGCTTCAACCTGGAGGCGCAGGGGATGGGAAGGCGGACCTGCAGCAGAGGCCCTGCCCTTGGAGAGCTGTCCGTCCAGGAGGAAAGCAGAGACTGCCACAGCAGTATTTCTAGTGATGCAGGCCATCAGAGTGATGCAGAGGATGGGGTCTTCTCTCAGATGGGGGCAGGGGAAGACTGAGCCAGGCCTCAAAGGAGGCTGCGGGGTGTCGGCATCAAGAGCAGGGGCAACAGAATAAACAGAAGTGTGATGAAGGAAGCGCCCACTCTGTGTAGAGACTGGCACATAGCTTCTTATGGCCAGGGCCAGGGTGGAGTGGGGAAGCAGTAGGAACACAGGCTGGTGAGTGAGGGCAGCGGGGTCAGTGTGAGGGCTCTGAAGGCCAGGCACAGGAACCGGGGTGCTATTTTAAGGCCAAGGAGACACTGGGCTCTGTGGAGGATGAGCTTTCAGGCCTATAGCCAGCCCGCCTGGGTTCTGATCCTGGCTCTGCCACTCACTTGCCCTGGCACCTTAACCTAAGTTGCTTAGCCTCCCAGTGCCTCAGTTTCCTCTTCTGTACAGGGGGGATGATAATGGTGCCTACCTCACTGGACCACTGTGCAGATACAATGACAACAATTCGTGCCACAAAGTTTGTGTTTAATAAGCGTTGTTGTTATGTGCCGTTGAGTCAGCTCCGACTCATAGCCTGTGTACAACAGAACAAAACCCTGCCTGGTCCTGCGCCAGTCTCACGATCCTTGCTGTACCTGAGCCCATCGTTGCAGCCACTGTGTCAATCCATCTTGTTGAGGACCTTCCCCTTTATTGTTGACCCTCCACCCTACCAAGCATGACATCCTTCTTCAGGGAACGGTCCCTTCTGACAACATGACCAAAGTCGGTGAGACAAAGTCTGACCATTCTCACTTCCGAGGAGCATTCTGGCTGTACTTCCTCCAGGACAGATTTGTTCATTTTTCTCACAGTCCATGGTATTTTCCGTACTCTTTGCCAACACCACAATTCGAAGACTTCAGCTCTTCTTTGGTCTTCCTTATTCATTGTTCAGCTCTCACATGCATGTGAGGTGATTGAAAATACCATGGCTTGGGTCAGGTGCATCTTAGTCTTGACAGTGATATCTTTGCTCCTTAACACTTTAAAGAGTGTTAGTTACTGTTATTATTGCTGTTGTCACTCATTCATTCATTCATCCATTCACTCATTTAGCAGCCGTGTGCTGGACTGTGACTGTGTGCAGGGCACTGTCACAGGGACACAGCAGTGAACACAGACACCACCATTCCCATCCTCAGAGCTCACTTTCTGGGGAGGGGAGACAGGCAGTGAGATAAAGAAGGGAAAGAAACCCGTCCATTGGTAGTAAGCATTTCCCGTTACCCATTGCCGTCGAGTTGATTCCAACTCATAGCGACTCTAGGGGACAGAGTGGAACTGCCATTAGGGTTTCCGAGGCTGTGTGTAATCCCTAAGGGAGCAGACTGCCATATCTTTCTCCTGAGTAAGCACTCGGGGAAAACAAAGCAGGAAAAGGATGGGTTTGTGCTACGCAGATGGGGAAGCACACGTTTAGAGAGGACAGTCCAGGCAGGCCACACTGGGAGGCTGTTTGAGGAAAGACTGAGGCAGAGATGGGGTGAGGGGTGAACCCCTTCAGAGCTGCATTCAGGTGGGGGGAGCAGCAGGTGAGAGGACCTCACACAAGGACATTTCTAAGCAGGTGGATGGCCTGCCAGAGCTTTGCTTTGGGGGGGGTCAGGGTTGAGGCCACTGTGTGAGGGACTGGCAGGGACGAGGGGGAATAAAGCCAGAAGCCAGGGACGGAGGCTGCACCATAGTCTAGGCTGTTTCTGAAGTGACCCATAGGAGACAACTCAAGGAGGTGTGTGAGGAAAATAGTCAGATTTTTATTCCTGCGCCTTTTTGTCGTACTCGTTTAACACTCCCATTTTTGTGTGCATGATATTATACATATATGTTAGTACCAAACAGTTTCCATATGTAATTTATACATACATGTATGTAACTTGTATAAATACGCATAGAGGAGGCTAGGCGTCAAGGCAGGCTGACAGGGCAGGGCCTAACAGGAGCCTGGAGAGGAGGCACCACCTGCCAACGCCCTGTGGCAGTGGGCCCCACAGGTGTGGCTGTGGGAGGAGGTGGGCGAGGGCGTTTGGACGTCCTTACAGACTCAGGCCCAGCCTCCTGGAAGGACGGCACAGGGATCAGAACAAAGCCTCAGGAGAAGAGGGCTAAGGGGCAAGTGGAAGTCCCTGCCTGGGTGCTGGGCACTGGCATGTGACATTCCCAAGAGCGCCTGCGAGAGCACTTGTAGTGCCCTGGTGGGCCCTTCAAGGAAGGCCAGGCTCACAGCAGTTTGGATTCTCCACACAGAAAGCCAAGCATTAGGCCCCAGATGGGAAGAAAGCCTATTTTCCTGCTTGTTTTGAAAGTGGTTTTTTGCAGGGCTGTGTTGATGTTACACCGTTAGTTCCCAGGGTGGGTAAACTCCCTGGTCCGAGAGCCAAGTCTGATGGGGCCGCCATTTTGTTTCATGCCTTTGTCGTTAGGTGCCATCGAGTCTAAGCTATGAACTTTCGGGGAGCACATCCCCAGGTCTTTCTCCCCTGGAGCCACTGGGTGGGTTTGAACTGCCAACATTTCAGTTAGCAGCTAAGTGCTTAACTAGTGCACCACCAGGGCTCCTCAAACACATAAGCTGATAGCCTGCAGTTCTTGTCATATCAGGAGAGCAGACCAGAGGGCAGAGCTGTTGCCCTGTGAAGGGTCATGTGCCTCTGGTCTGCTGGTCCCTGTGCTCCTTCTTGGCCCTTTGTCCGTGGGTGTCAGGGCCCAGGGCGGGGTGAGCCAGGTCTGTCCACATACTAAGCTGTCCGCAGTGTACTGTGAGGGCAGATGTCTTCCCAGAGGTCAGCACAGAGCCCCGGCAGGCCACACTGCCCTCCCCTAGGTGGGAACATCTGTCCACCCACTAGGGCCCACGGTGTGCGAGTGACTCAAGTCCTTGTGTGATGGTGGCCTCACAGGACTGCTAGCCTGAAGCTGTTTGCGCTCGCGGTGGGGCACTGGCCAGCTCTAGGTCCGCCCATCCAGATGGGCTCCTGCCAGGCTCCCTTGGGAGGAATGTCAATATCCCCAACCCAAGTACCAGCTGCCCCCCAGGGCCTCTGAAGGGCAGCGAACCAGGGAAGCATCTCCTCTCGTTCTGCCCCACAGCTGAAGTCTACATTGGCATCGGGAAGCCTGCGGAAGCCACGGCGTGCACCCAGGAAGCTGCCAACCTCTTCCCCATGTCCCACAACGTCCTGTACATGCGAGGCCAGGTCGCTGAGCTCCGAGGAAACATGGACGAAGCCCGGCGGTGGTATGAAGAAGCCTTATCCATCAGCCCCACCCACGTGAAGAGCATGCAACGATTGGTGAGTCCCACAGCTGGGCTGGGAGCCCACTCTTGGTTTGGAGCCCCCTCGGAAGCAGTAGGAAGCTTGCAACCCCTAAACCTTCTTCTAATCCCAAATATAGTAGTTTATGCAAATGGTATCCCTAGATGTTGACAGCATACAGCCTGAGCAACCCCGCCTTGTCCACTGGGAGCTCTGGGGGAGTTGAAGGTCATGGTTTCCTGGCCAGCAATCCAAGGCACCCTGTGCTTCTGGGGCTGATGAAGACAGACCTGCACATTGCCATCTTGGGCTCCACACTGCTTAAAGCAGCCTCCTTAGGGGGTGTCCACACCGACGGCTGTCCACACCGAGGGTGGGACTTTGGCAGAAGCACAAGCACTCTGCAGACCAGAGGCCTCTCTGACCTTGAGGAAGCCTGAGGCTGCAGCTTGTCTCACAGGCCACTAGCTGCTGAAGGCGTCCTTCCCGGGCATGGGGCTGAGGAGTGGGTAGCAGCATTGGGCCAGGGACACAGGTCAGTCACTGCAGTTTTCACACTGCACATGGGTGGTTGCCCCCCAGAAATACACGTATCCTTCACAAAAGACTCGCCCCCTCTTCCAGATACTCAGGCCAGAGCTGGGGTGGACCTGGGGCTCCCCTGCCTCCCCAGCCATGGGCAGTCTGTGGGCAGTCCTGGAGTCGGTCATCTGTCCCTCTCAGCTTCCAATAGCCATGGAACGGGCTGGTCCCTACGGGAGGGGGCTCATCTTAAGAACCTATATGAATGTAGCTACCTGACAGAGCCCTCTACCTGCTGTTATCTTCTCCTGAGGGTGTGAATTGAACGAGGTGCTAGGGCCTGGTGAAAAGCCACGCTGCTATGTGTGGGCCTGTGTGCCAGGCTTCAGCTCCGATGCTTTATTCGTTCCGAGCAGTAGGACACCTCTGATTTAATGAGCTGTAGGAAAGAAAAGCTTGTACTAAACCTTAGGTGCGCTTCGGTCGGAGCGCCAGGAGCCCAGCACTGGTAATCAGACCAGGCTGTGTGACATGAGTGAGTCCGGATGGGGCCCAGGGCACAGCTGTGCTCCGGCAGTCGCCTGCTCACTCTGTCCATGGAAGAGGCCTGTGAGCTCAACACACCTCAGTTTTCTTTCTGTAAAATGAAGGCACCTGACACAGTAGGCTGTGAGTTTCTGTCCAGCGCACAGAGGCTGTGGTTTGTCACTAATGAGTGGAATGTTCTCCAAGGGTCCCAAGGCCTTATTATCTTGTCATTTCTCATAGCAACGCTGCAGCCAGTAGAGCAGCAATGACTAGTTTTAGCAGAAGACTGCTGAGAATTAGGCACCATGGCAACAATTGGACAGGGACCGGGGACTGGAACCCAGCCTGCTCCCTCTTCCTGGGAAACCTTGGCCTTGACCTCTAGGAGTCTCATTGTGCCTGTAGGTTAGACTGTTTCTTACCCTGGAAGGATGTTGTGAGGAAAGTGAAATGATTTACACAGCAAGCCTAGCATCACTCCTGGCACCTAACCCCAAACCAAACCCATTGCTGGCGATTCAGACTCCCAGCAAGCCTGTAAGATGGAGTAGAACTTCCCCATAGGGTTTCCAAGGCTGTACGCTTTATGGAAGCAGGCTGCCACTTCTTTCTCCTGTGGAACAGCTGGTAGGTTTGAACCACTGACCTTTTGGTTAGCAAATGAGTTCTTAACCGCTTTGCCACCAGGGCTCCTAGAAACTGGTCCCTGGTAAACCAAAAATCAAACTGGTTCCCACTGAGCCAATTCCAACTCCTGGCCCCTGTGTGTCAGAGTGGAACTGTGTGCCCTCGGGTTTCCAGGCTGGTTTTGTCAGAAGTAGATCTCCAGCCCTTACTTCCAAGGAGCCTCCAGGTGGGCTCAAACTGCCAACCTTTTCATTAGCAGCTGAGCATTCACTGTTTGTATCACCAAGGGACCCCAGCACCTAGTAGGTGCTCATTAAATGGAAAACTGATGGCAGTCGTGTTCATTTTAAAAATAAATCAGACCTCGTAATAATCACAGCAACTTAATTTCCTCGCCTTCTTTCTGAGTATTTTGTAGCTCACCCTTAGCTTTATAAATCATTTTACATATTATCCAAACATTACTCTGAGTAAAAATATTACATGGCTTTTAATTCTTGTCTCACTCTTGTAAGCGGAATTTGTTAAAGAGCCTTTCAGATCCCTGTACTTTTGCAGGAGCCTTGCAGAAGAGGTATAATCAGCAGTGGGTAGCCTTTTTACGAAAAAAAGGCAGTGTGTTTCCACCGCAGGGCCTATGAATTATTCAAAGAAGTATTTCTTGTTCATCCCCAGGGGGAACACATGAGACATATGCTCAAATAGGAGCATCACACAGGGAGAGTTTCACGTTTCACCTTTGCAGTTTTTCAAGACACCTGAGCCCCGTGACAAATGCCGGGCACTTTTCTTTCTGAAAGGAGGAGGCAGCAGGCCCAGCCCAGGAGGGCTGGTGAACAGGGGACAGGCTGCGGGGGGACTGTGTCTGTGGGCTCCATCGGCAGTGGCCAAACCGTATCAGACTCAGTGATTGATGTTGGCTGCCTTTGGAGGTCTTGTCAGTGGAAAGTAATGCTGATAATAAAATAATAAAAATAACTTTATTTGGAGGATCTCGGTAGCATAGTGGCTAAGGCACTTGACTGCTAACCAGAAGGCTGGTGGCTCAAACCTCGGAAGAAAGGTTGGGTAACCTACTTCTGTAGTGATACCACCTCGACAACCCAAGGAGGGGTCGCTATGAGTCGGGTCCGACTCGACGGCACATAACAGCAACAACAACTTTATTTGGATAATAATGAAACTAAACCTTTCTCAACACACTCTGTCATGGTTGCTGGATGCCAGGGAGTCGATTCCGACTCCTGGCGACTCCCTGCGGCAGAGTAGAAGCATCCAGGAGGGTTTTCTAGGCTGTGATCTTTATGGGAACAGATTGCCAGGGCTTTCTCCAGCAGAGCCACTGGATGAGTTCAGACTGTCAGTCGTTCAGTTAGCAGCTTAACAATCGCGCCACCATCTTTGAACACATTCTAGTGTATTCAAAAACTTTCCAGGTTGGAGACCAGCAAGGCAGGGACCAGAAGCCTACAAATGTTGAGGAGTTTCTGTTCTTCTAGACAAAAATTGCTCATTGATGGCGGTCAGTGTGGCTTCAAAGGGCAGCTGGGAATGTTTCTTCTTAGGGACCTTGTAGGTAATGGTTTGGCTGTGTTCTCCCCAACCTGCCACCGAGAGCCTAGCACGGGGCTGGCAGGAGCCCACTACAGCCAACGGCGTCTTCCCTCCCCCTGGTGCTGCTGGGCCTGCTGGTGCCTGTGGAGAAGGCAGCCGGGCTCTTCAGCTCTGAGACATCACAGCCCCTCTCTTTCCTCCTTGCCTCCCCAAGCTACCTAGGAAAGTCATGTTTCCATGGCCTTGGACATACGAAAGGTGGCCTGGTGGTGCTAAAGCACTTGGCTGCCAGCTGAAAGGTGGACAGTTCAAACCACCAGTCATTCCACAGGACAAAGATGTGGCAATCTGCTTCTGCAAAGATTACAACCTTGGAAACTCCAGGTGCAGTTCTAGGCTGTCCTGTAGGATCTCTATGAGTCAGAACCAACTTGATGGCAGTGGGCTTGGTTTGGTTTGGTTCCGTTTGGGGGAAGGAAAGGGGAAAGCTGGCATTTGCAGTACAGAAGCTAAGAATCAGGAGTCAGAGTGGGAATCCCCTCTCTCTCACTGTTGTTGTTATGTGCCGTCAAGTCAGCCCTGACTCATAGTGAGTCCTCCTTGGGTTGCCGAGGCAGTATCACTATGGAAGTAGATTGCCCAACCTTCCTTCTGAGGAATGGCTGGTGGGTTTGAACCACCAGCCTTCTGGTTAGCAGTCAAGTGCCTTAGGCACTATGCTACCAGAGCTCTCACTCCCTAGCTTTGGCATCTGGACAAGTTAGCCTTTTTGTGCCTCAGTTTCCTCAGCTCCACAAATGGGATAATCTTAGCACCAGTAAGTCGCTGACACAAAGACAAGACTGAATTTTCTTGTTGCTTCAAAAAGATCCTGTCTCTGCCCTCATGGAAACCAGACTGGTTTGCCACCCCTAAGTCAAGAGGAAAGGGTAAGCAGGGAGAGCCGGAGCTGTCCTTTGACCCGGTCGAGTCTCAGGGAAAAGACAGGTACTCGAGATTATGTGGCAGAGGAAGGCTGAGACGGAGGTGAGCACTGACGATTGCCTGGCACTTGGGGGAGGAAGGAGCTAGTGAGGAGTTGGCCCAGGGAACCTGCCTCAGGCTGGGCTGAGGACGCGTCAGAAGGTCAACACTAGCAGAGACCACCACAGAACCAGCCAGAGGGCTACAAGGGGGACCAAGGGCAAAGCAGAGTGTGGAAAGGTGTCTGCTGGAGGGCCATGCAGGAATGCATTGTATGGAAGGAAAGGAAGCCTCACTGTGTGTCATAGGCAGAGACCAAAATGGCGGACAGTGCCTAGGAACCATTAAGTCAGGAGCTTGTGCTTGGTCTGTGAACAACAGTTATGTGTCAGCTCTAGGGATGGCAGGCAGTGACAGCTGCCAGATGATCTGACCCAGGTTATGAGAGAGGTGGGATCTAAATGCAAGTGCAAACGCAGTAGCATTTTTTAAATGCAGTCATGGCTCGGGAGGCAGATGGTACTTGTGGAAGTAAACAGAAGGTCAGACTAGACAAGAGACATGTACCTTAAACCCCAGTGACAAGTGGCTGCCTTCCAATAGGTTCAGCCTTCATCCATGTGTTTCAATTCACATATAGGGAAAAAAAGAAGATGAGAAAGAATCTGTTTAGTGTTAATGAGTTGGCAGAAGACAAGGGAGGCAGGGTGCTGTGTGGGCAGAGATCATGAAGGACACAGAGAGCTGAAGGGGCAAGGAGGAACGATCCAGTAATGGTGATGACGGAGGAATTCAGAAAGGGAGCAGACTTTTTCCAGAAAATCTAAAGGCGTATTTTCATA